CTAGGCCCAGAGATCCAGGGATGACTTTGGAGGCTGGGGGTGGGGGATCCCCTTGGCATCTCTGGGACCTCAGCCCTGGAGTGGGGTGGGCATGTGGAGTCGAGAGAGAGGAGAGAGCCCCTTTCTTTGTTCTGAAAAGGGAGAGGTGGCTGGCTTTGTGTACAGGACTAGGTGCCACGGAGCACTAGGCTGCCTGAGCCCCAGAGGGAGCTGAGGGAGCTGGAGGATAGTTGAGGAATCACGGGTCCCTAGGAGGTTGAAGCTTTGGGGCAAAGGAAAAGATTCTAGGGACCCTGGAGGTTAGGGACAGCTGAGGAGGAGGAGAGAAGTGAGGATGGGGGCAGGGAGCTGGGGGCTTGGGGAAGTCACCGAGTGACTGCAGGGCTTTGGACCCTGTAGGGGAGGATGTGCTGGGCTGCCCAAAGGGTTGAAAGAGGCCACAGCTCCAGTCTTTCAGGCTTCCCTGCAACTGTGACCTTGGAATCTGGGAGGGGACAGATCCCAAAGTGTGAATCCCATGCGTGCAGGTGACCTGTGTGTTGGTATGAGTGTGTCTATCTGCCCTCAGGTGCTCTGGGTTACTGTTTTGAATAGTGGTCACCGAAGTAGGGGGCTCACACTCTGGATATGAGGCAGTAGCTGCATTTAGCTTCAGTCTCTGATTTGAAGTATGGTCCAGGAGCCTGACTGAGCAGGATGGTCAGGGTTCTCGGAGCTGGCAAGAAAAACGGCTGAGAGGAGCTGACTGGACCCTTCTGGGTTTGTTTATGTCTCTTTGGGGGAGGGTGGGGGTGGGCTGCAGGCAGCAGCTGCCCTCCGCCCAACTCAGCCGGCCTGCCCTGTGCCAGGAGGGCAGGGAGTCCTGGCACAGCTATTGTTCGCCTGCACAAATACCCGTCTGTCTGCATCCCTCCCGCCTCCCTCTCTGCTCGCCTCTCTCTCCTGACCTGACAGGTGTGGCCGGGTGGGGGGCAGGCCAGGGTCCAGGATGCCTGGGTCTCAGGGTCTCTGGCCTGATTTCATTCCCTGTGGTCCTTAGCGCCCCTCTTTTGCTCCACCAATATGCCCACCCCCGTTGTCCAGTGTATCATCTCCATTCATCAAGCAAGCATTTATTAAGTGCCTTTGTGCGTTCAGTAATGTGTTCTTGTGTTATGTGTCTGGCTTTGGCATTAGTGTTCCTGTTTGGCCGCCTTCTCCTCAGCCTACTACCTTCATCTTCCCCCTGGAAGCTCATAAAGGAGCAGAGCCTGGCTGAGACCATCCCAAGCCCCCTCCCCAGTCCCATGGCCAGGAACTCTCTCTCCTCATTTCCTAGCCCGATGGCTCATCCCCCGTGACTCAGTGCCCTTCTCAGCCTGTGACCCTGTACCTCTGCTGGCCAGGGGCTGAGTCTCAGGTGACTCAAATCCCAGTGGTACCCTCCGGGCCCTTCTGGTCATCATACAGAGGGCCTGGACAGAGGCCTCACCATCTTGGGGAAGGGCCTGCTGCCGGCTGGAGCTGGAGCAGAGGCAATTCTGGCCACCATGTGACCCCCAGAGGTCTTGGTTTGGACGCAGTGATGGAGGAACAAGGACAGCTGAGAGCTTAGGCCTTGCTTGGAGACGATCTAACTGTCCCGGGCAGGCTCTCCGGCCCCCTGCTGCGCACGGTGTTGCCCTGTCCTTCTTATAGTCACTGTTCTCCTCTTTGGGGGAGAGGCTGCCTCTGCCTTCGAGCTTTCGAGCACCAGCCACAGTGTCCCTGCCATGCCCCCTGTCTTTTTTTCCCAAAAAGTGACCAAGATGTAGGGTGACCATGGAAGAAAGGTTTGGGTTGGCCTTCCAGAGGAAATCGTCAGGGTCTAAGCTTGAAGGCAGCAGCAGGAGAGAAGGGCTGGGAGCCCTTCAGGAAAGGGAGGAAAGGAGAAGCTAGAGGAGAGGAGAAGGCTCTGAGGCTCTGCCAGCCACAAGGGGGGTCCTGGAGCAGGCAGCACGGGTGCTGCAGGGACCCCATGTCTGGTGTCCATCCATCCACCTTTCCTTTCCTTCCTTTGCAAACATGTCCTGAGTGCCTGTTGTGTCCCAGCCACTGTGCTAGGTGCTTTCAAGCTCTGTCCATTTCATCCTTGATGTAGGGGTGGTGTAGGTGAAGGCTGTGTGGCAAGAAAGACTTCCTGTGAGGGCTGGTGAGAAAGAATGACTCTAGATGCTGGGCAGCAGAGGACTGAACCAAGCAGGAAGGGCCTCTGGGTGTTGGGGGTGGGTGCTGTGGATCGGGGCATAATGGGCCCCTTTCCTGGGGGACAGATTGGGATGTGGAGGGGACCTGCCTTGCTGGTGGGTGGGTAAGTGGAAGACTGACGTGATTATCTTAAGAGTACCTGGAAGAGAGTAGGACAGAGAATCAAACAAGCCCATTCAGGCAGCCTGGCGAGCAGGCCTAGTGTCCTGCGGTCCTCACCAGAGCCCTGGGGCGGGCACAGGCTGCCTCCAGGACAATAGCGCTAGGCAGTGCCAGGGTGCGTGCTGCTGGGCAGTGCCCGTGTTGGGATGTGCTGCTGCGGCTGTGGCCCGCTGCTGGCCCACCTAGAGAGGGGGTCACTTGGAGAGAGGGTGAGTGTTGGAAGGGCAGGAGGCGGGGCCCATAGTACCCGGGTCGTCCAGGAGGCATGGATGCCAGAGAGGAGAAGGGCCACTGGAGCCTGAGTGCTCTGGCTGCTCACTGTCCCCCCCTTTCCCACCTCTTTCCCACGTGCACTCCCAGGGATTGGAGTTCGTGGTTTGGGTGACAGAAGGGGAATCGTAGCAGCATGGGGTCACTTATGCGGCCCTGCCTGTTGTGGAGTTGGCCCTCATCCAGACACGTTGCTCTTTTTTAGTTAGATCTTTGTGTTTGTCTGCTGCCTTTAATTCAGATGTCATAGGTGATCAGACTTTAATTTGTGTTACAGAGAAGGCTGGGAGAGCCCTAGAGGGGAGAAGGGAGTGTGAGTGGCAGTAAGAACAGATACTTGGATTTGCTCTTTAAGGTCCAGTAAGATTGTTAGCAAGGGAGGATTTGATCTTCTAAGGAGCTATAATTTGGAGCAAGATAGGTGGAGGTTAGACCAAAGAGAGAATTTTCTAGTGGTCCTGATAGGTAAGGTACCAGAATAGAAAAGGGGAGTCCTCGAGATGTTGGCAGCTAGAGTCAGAGGTGGGTGGGCGTCCTTATCCAGGGTGGGTGGAGGACCAGTTGGCTGTGGTGGGGAGGAGGGGAGGGAGAGGCCTGGGGCAGTGAAGGGGAAGCCAGGTAAGAAAGGGAAGGCAGAGATGGAGGTGGAGAGGGGGACACCGTGAGATGGGAAGGGAGGACCTGGGAAGGAGACCAGGAGGTAGGCAGAGAAGAAAAAGAAGCAAGAGAGGAGAAAAGAAAAACAGGTAACGGGGTGGGAAAGGGCCTTGAGACCTCTGGGCTCTGCCCGTCATCAGACCGACCTGGAGCTTCGGAAGGGGGGCAGAAGAGATGAGGATCCTGGGCCGCCAGAAGCGCTGAGCCCTGGGGCACTGCCCCGAGGGCCCCTGCTGTTGGTTCCGCCCCTTCTCACTTCCCTTTCTACACAAACCCAGGCCAGTGCCTCCTCCCCTCCGCTGCCTCTACTGGCAGTGTGGCTGGAGTTGCCATCAGGACTAGGCCCCCAAGGCCCTGGCTGCGGGCTCTCTCCTGAATTCTAACTCTCTGTCCCAGGGCTCCAGACAGTGTCCTCCAACCTGGGGCTCATACCCTCAGCCTCAGCAGCCCGGAGCCTGTTATATGGTTTCTGAGAGGCAGGCAAACCTTGGGTGGAGGGGCCTTGTCAGCCTCTGTTCCTGTTCTCCATCCTCTTTTAATAGTGGAGGGGAAAATCCAAGGATCTGAGGAAGGCCCTGGAATAGGTGGGAAGAATGGTATCCCATCTTGCCAACTTCTTGGATTTCGTGGGAAGCTCAGGGGCTTGAGGAGGGACAGAAAAGAGGTCAGGGAGAACTTGGCCTGCAGAGGTTTAGGGGGAAGCAGGAGAAAAGAAAGCTGAAATGGAAAGCACCAGACTCCGAGGTTCTGGGGAGGAGCACACAGTGTACCCCATCCCCGGGAGACCAGAACTGGGCAAACTAATATTGCAGCTGGAGGCCAGAGGGTGGAGGCCAGAAAGGACTTCTAGGAGAGGTGACCAGGAATCACGGGCGCACTAGGCTTTGGAGGGTAGTATGAGAGGGGTAAAAGTTAGACTGCAGGAGAGACTTCCGGCCAGGAAGAGACCGGGTGGCTGAGTTTCCCTCCTTAAAGATCCCAGAGAGCGGGAGTGACCCCAGACTAAAGCCAGGCTCCTCCTGCCTCAAGGGCACTGGGGACTTGCCTCCTCTGTAGAGGCCCGTTTATCTGGGCGGAGTGTAGGTGGAAGAGGTCAAGGTTGGGGATCCTGACTTGTGGGTTGGGGATGGCACTGGAGGCAGTCTGCCCCCTTCAGCCAATCTAGTAAAGGGATCTCCTGCCCGCCCCCCCCCACTGTGACTGCCACAGAGACAGCGGCTCCGACACTGGTTGTCATGGTTATAAGAGGAGCTAACTCCCATGGATTTGAAAGCGCTGGTGAGCTGGCACCTTCTGCTTTGCCTGCTCTCCCCTCCTCTCTGCGCATCTTCCCTCCGGCACTGAGGAGAGAGCGTACAGCAGCTCGGGGGCGAGCAGAGCTGGGGCTGGAGGTGGAGTGAGGACGTGGAGGTCTAGAGCCAGGGAGATGAGTGGCAACAGGAGGCAGCCCAGCCGCAGAGGCCAGGTAGGTCAGGGCCAGCTAGGCCCCTCGTGGCTGGCCTGGTCACTCCTCAACAGCTGCCCTGGATGCCCTGTGGCAGGCTCTGCTGTAGGAAGTGGTGTCTCTCCTGTAATCCCAGGCGGGCATCGCTCCCTCGCCTCTGCCCTTGGACTGTCTCTGTGGACCCCTCAGGCACCCTAGATTCTTCCAGCCTCACTTCCTGTCCCTGTCACCCCTTCTGCAGACCCGGGAGAAGGAGAAGATGAAGGAAGCCAAGGATGCCCGGTATACCAACGGGCATCTCTTCACCACCATCTCCGTTTCGGGCATGACCATGTGCTATGCCTGTAACAAGAGCATCACAGCCAAGGAAGCCCTCATCTGCCCAAGTAAGTTGTTGAGACCCTGGATGTCCTTCTGACTACCCACCGATCCTAATCTGTCCACCTACCCTTGCTGCCCTGGATGCATGAGGTTCTCTCTCCTCTTAGAGCCCCAGCAGGGCCCAAATGCCCGGGCCAGAAGCTTGATCCCTTGCTCACTCCCTTTTCTCATGCCAAGGGGTGGTGGTGGTCAGAGTGGGACTGTCTGGGGATAGGGGGAGGGGAGGCCAGGACGGCTCCCCTTGCAGCTGTCGCCTGCTGGGTATCCCTCGACTCCCTGAACAGCTGCTGAGGGTCAGGGGCACTGATTGGAGAAGGAGCAGGAATGTTGTGTATGGGAGGGGGTAGGGGCCCGGGTGGCAAGCTGGCAAGCTGCCGGCCTTGCAGCTGGTTCTGCCTGTCTTCCTGGGCAGAGCTGGACACTCAGGACTTCAGGGTCCCCTTGCCTTATCCCTCCCTTTCTTTCGCCTGGATGGAGCCTGAAATCTCTAAATCTCTGCAGTTTGAACCATAAAATAAGATTTGGACCCCAGTCTCAAATTCCTAGTCGGACTGGCTGCACAGTGAGAAAGAGGGACAATAACAGGAATGTGTGTGTTTGGGGAGGAGGGTTAGGACTCCTGGCTTCACCCATATCTGAGGGTAGCCCTGGATTTAGGAAGCATGAGTGATGAATTCTTCCTTCCCCAGGAGGGCCTATATGCCTGTACAGAGGGCTCCTGCTCTGTGCCTCCCCAAACCCCAATTTATGGCCAAGAGCTGCTTCTGATCATAGCTGGACTGGAGGTCTAGTGACCTGCAACTGAACAGGGGGATAAAATCTCCAGCTTCTGAATCCCACGGAACTCGTGGAAGGAACCCCCATGTGGGTCCCCAACTTCCTCACTGCTCAACTTAGAGTTAGGAGGATGAGAAGGGAACCCCAATCTAGATCCCTCTAGAGACCTAACAAATTCCTGATCCGGAAGCTTGTTGCCAGGGGAACCGGGGAGGTGGGCAGTGAGCGCTATTTTGAGAGCAGGTGGAAAGCGGAGGTTTGATCCAGAGGCACTGGGTGCTGGGGGTAGGAGAAGGGAGCTCCAGGGAATGGGGGCAGCCGCAGCCCCCGCTTCTGTCTGCCCTTCTGCCCCACCCTGCTCGCCTTGTATTTGTGGAAGTGAGCATGGTGCTGGGTATTGTCTGAAGGAGTTAGCAGAGTTTCCGGTGTTGGTGGACAGGGGAGGAAGCCAGAGAGGGCCAAGGGCTGAGGGCATGGCAGGAAAAGGGGCAGCCAGTGGTCCCAGAGCCTAGGCTCGGCTGCTACTCCTTTCCTCCCCTCTCCTACCCCGTGGCGAGGTGGGGTGGGTGATGGGGAAAAGCAGATGGAGTGTGGGAGCTGTGGGTTTGCCTTAGTCTTTGCCTTAGTTGGAGAACAGGACTCTTCTGGGCCTGGAAGGGAGAAGGCAGAGAGACTGGAGTGGTGGCAAGTGGAGCTGAGCAACATAGAAGGCAGGCAGGCATGGCGGGAAGGGGCAGGGCATGGCCTGTCCGCACTCTACCACGGGGTCCGTCAGCCTTCCAAGTGCCCCCACCTGGCCAGTTCATCAGGACTGGGAGAACCCCCAGTTTCCATGTGGTTCAGTGGAAAGAGTGCAGCCTTTGGATTCATGCATGCCTGAGTTTAGATCCCAGCTCTCCCACTAGCCATATGACCTCTGGCAGGTGACTGAACCTCTCCGGAGATAGGTCCCTCATCTGTAAGACAAGGAGAACTGAGCCTACCTTGAAGTGTTGTTAGGATCACGTAAACGTGGACCACTTCCTAGGGGCTCAGGGGACAGTAGTTTCCCCTCCCTGCCCTTAGCTCCCCTCCCAGCTGCTCCTGCGCCATCTTCTGCTCCGTGGGTGTCCTCTCTTCCATCTGTGCTCCTTGAACTCATCTCTGGCAGCCAGTAACTCCTTCCCTCTAGTCCACCCCTCAGGTCACCTCTGAGTCGGGATTGCCCATCCCTCCTGAGTGTTTAATTGTACCCCCCCTCACCTCACACTCTGCTTGAAGGAAGGGGGAGGAGGGCAGAGAGGGACTGGGGTGTGGTGACGGTCAAGAAGTCTGGGCAGGGGGGCGTCTGCCACCGCACAGCCAGGGGGGGATGGGCCTCTGCATGTGGGTGTCCCCTCCTGTGCCACCCGCCGCCCCTTCACCCTCTCTACCCCACCCCCCCAGCCTGCAATGTGACTATCCACAACCGCTGTAAAGACACCCTCGCCAACTGTACCAAGGTCAAGCAGAAGGTGAGATGGCACGGAGGGCAGAGGGCTGGGGGAGAGGGCAGTGAGTGGGCGGCACCTCAGGCCTTCTCCAGTCACGCCTTACCCTGTGTTCCTCATCCCCTGTCCGCACTGCGGGGCAGCCAGACCCTCAGCCCCAGGCCTTAGGCCCCGAGGGGACCAGCCTACTGCTGGCTAACACTGGGCTTCGCCACCTTGGTGCCCTTAACCGCTGTACAGCTTTCTCCCGAGGGGGCTGGCCACCCAGCTTCTGCCGTGTGGGAATGACCCTTAGGTGACAGCTCTCTTTGGTGTCTCTTGCCCTCTGTGTCACAGCAACAGAAAGCTGCCCTGCTGAAGAACAACACTGCCCTGCAGTCTGTTTCACTTCGCAGTAAGAGTGAGTAGCGAGGGGGCGCTGGGGACCCCTAGGACCCTGGACCCCAGGCCTTTCAGCTTGCGGACTCTGCTGCCCTCCTGAGGTCGTTCCTGGGCAAGGCACCTTCCTCCCTTCCATAGGAAGCTGATGGTGGGGCCTTAGCAACGTCCAGAGTCTTGGGCTCAGGAGCAGGACAGGGCTTGGGGTGGGAAGCCAGCTGAGCCTGGTTACTTCCTGTGCTATTATGTTAGTATTTACACTGCACTTGGGAGAGTTGGGGGCAGCTGTCAGGTATCAGTTCAGATGGCTTTGGTCTGGCGGAAAGAGCACGGTGCTTAGGCAAAAAGAACAGTCAGTCTGCTCAGCCACGGCGGAGTCACCCCACACAAGTCTCTTAACTTTTATGAGCTGGAGTTTGCTCATAGGCTTGTTTGGGGGAAGAGATAAGACAAAGCTCTTTATGAACTTGCAAGTATTGTGCAAGTATAAAGTAGCATTGCTGTCACCTCTTCCTTCGACTAGATGGGGAGGCCAAGGGAGAGTGGGAGAGGGCCTCATTTCTGTTGGGGGGTTCTGGGAGGCCTGAATCCCGGACAGGCACCCCGTTTGACATTTGCCTTGGTATTCCCCCACAGCCACCATCCGGGAGCGGCCCAGCTCTGCCATCTACCCCTCTGACAGCTTCCGGCAGTCCCTGCTGGGCTCCCGCCGCGGCCGCTCCTCCTTGTCTTTGGCCAAGAGTGTTTCCACCACCAACATTGCTGGGTGAGCCTCTGCTTGGGGAAGGGAGAGCCAGGCAGGCAGACAGTGTGGCAGTGGAGAGGGGGTGCTGAGAATCTCTCCCATCCCCAAGTCCAGAATTCTAGACAGATGGATAAGGGGAACTTGGGATGACTGACTGCCTCTCAGATCCTGGCCTTGGTCCCCCATGTGGAAAGGGAACTCTTGCCTGAGTCAGGGTGATGCAGCCAGCCTCCACTTCCCGCAGACACTTCAATGATGAGTCTCCCCTGGGGCTGCGCCGGATCCTCTCCCAGTCCACAGATTCCCTCAACATGCGGAACCGAACCCTGTCAGTGGAGTCCCTCATCGACGAAGGTGACTGTGCCCAGCCCTGGGGGAGGCCTGGTGGGAGCAGGCCTGGGAATGGCCGGGAGGGACCCAGGGGGAGAGAACCCGGCCTCTGAGTTATTTCTCCTGCACTGATGTCCAGGTGCAGAGGTGATCTACAATGAGCTGATGAGTGACTTCGAGATGGATGAGAAGGACTTTGCAGCTGATTCCTGGAGCCTGGCTGTGGACAGCAGCTTTTTACAGCAGCAAAAAAAGGAGGTGATGAAACAGCAGGATGTCATCTATGGTGAGCCAAGAAGACTACCCCTAGACTTCTCTTTCTTTACCGGGTCCTGTTTCCTGTGTCCTTCCTTCTGCCAATCCCTGCCTCTCAAGACCCTTTCCCCCTTATCCCCTTGGCCTCTGAGACCCTTGCCTGGCATCCCACAGGTTGCCGCTAGGCTCCCACCTTTCCATCTCCAAGGCTCCATCTTTATCCCTTCCTTCAATTTTTTGTCTTTACTCTTCGCTCTTTCCATGTCCAGCACCTTGCTGGGGATTATGGAAACTGAGACATGGAGAAAACAGTTCTTGCCCTCAAACAGCTTATAGCTTGATATAGGAAAGCATAAAGATAAAAAATGATCAGAAACATTCCAAGTCATTATAATGCAAAATGTTAACCTGGCAAAGACCTTAAAAATCTCAAATGAGCCCAGAGGTCCCCAGCCTAGGCCCCACCAATTGTGGCCAAGCCAGGGTGGAGGTCAAATGTCCCATTGTCTCCACAGAGCTAATTCAGACGGAGCTGCACCATGTACGGACACTGAAGATCATGACCCGCCTCTTCCGCACAGGGATGCTGGAAGAGCTACAGCTGGAGCCGGGAGTGGTCCAGGGCCTGTTTCCCTGTGTGGATGAGCTCAGCGACATCCATACACGCTTCCTTAGCCAGCTGTTAGAACGCCGGCGCCAGGCCCTATGCCCTGGCAGCACCAGGAACTTTGTCATCCATCGCTTGGGTGACCTTCTCATCAGCCAGGTGGGGAAAGGCAGGGCCCGTGGGCAATATTCATGGAAGGACGTGTGACTAGCATGGGCATTTCTTGCCTCCAAACTTTCGTGGGTAGAGCCTGGGAGAGCTGGAGAGGCAGGAAGCCCGCCTGTTTGGAGGGAGGCCAGAGGCATCCAGGGGATCAGGGGTGGCCTTGGGGGCTATGCTGACCCGGGCTTGCTCCCCCGACTTCTAGTTCTCAGGTCCCAGTGCAGAGCAGATGCGTAAGACCTACTCAGAGTTCTGCAGCCGCCACACCAAGGCCTTAAAGCTCTATAAGGAGCTATATGCCCGAGACAAACGCTTCCAGCAATTCATCCGGGTGAGCAAACCTCTCCAGGACCCATACTCAGGGCCTCCCCATTCCTGGGGGGGCGCATATATGCTGCACCCACTGGGAGGTCAGGCGTTCACTAACCCTTGTGGACCCATCTGCTGGTGGAGCCTGCCGACAATGACCCCTCACAGTAGTAGTAGAGCAAGTGCTGTACACCACTTTGTCTGGTTGGTCGTCACAGTAAACCTGTGGCCTGGTCACACCCGGTTTCCAGACGCAGTCACCTGAGCCAGCGGGAGGTGGGAGCACCGTCGCTGAGGCTCCAAGTCCGGCATTCTTTCTGTTGCCCTCCCCTCTGACCCCACTCTGTCTAGCCCTGAGCCCTGCCTCTGCCCTTATAGAAAGTGACCCGCTCGGCTGTGCTGAAGCGGCATGGGGTACAGGAGTGCATCCTGCTGGTGACGCAGCGCATCACCAAGTACCCAGTGCTCATCAACCGGATCCTGCAGCATTCCCATGGTGAGGGAGGGCCCAGCGGGGCTGGGGGGGCTCTCTGCAGTGTGAGAAGGCTCAGGCTGGCCTACTGAAGGGTCGGGGTCACATGTGGAACCCTGGGCAGCCTCTGAAGCGGGGATTGAAACCCGGCGGGAAATGGGGCTGGCCTGAGGCTGAGCCATCCCACATGCCCACCTGGTGCCAGGGATTGAGGAGGAGCGCCAGGACCTGACAGCAGCCCTGGGGCTGGTGAAGGAGTTGTTGTCCAACGTGGACCAGGATGTGCACGAGCTGGAGAAGGGGGCCCGCCTGCAGGAGATCTACAACCGCATGGACCCTCGCGCCCAGACCCCAGTGCCTGGCAAGGGCCCCTTTGGCCGAGAGGAGCTTCTGCGGCGCAAACTTATCCATGATGGCTGCCTACTCTGGAAGACCGCAACCGGCCGGTTCAAAGGTCAGTGGTCAGCTTAGCAGGCCAGGCAAGAGCCCAGAGTCATATGTGGAGAGAGAGAAGCATCCAGCCCTTAGGACTTCTCTTTTTGCAGCTCTATACCCAGAGGGAGACCCAGTGGAAGGGAAAAATGTGGTCTCCGCTACAGCAAAAGTCTGAATTCTGGATCTAAGTTCCTGGGCCATGCAGAGACTTCCTTGTCAGTATTTAGTCATTTCTTTGGTCTTTGCATGCCCATGGAGACTTACCAGTTCTGATGAGGAAGACAAGCTCCAGGACCAGAGGACAAGATTGGGGCTGAGATTGGACGGGAGCTTTGGTAACATGGCCAAAGTCCAAGAGAGAGGAACTGAGCCCAGGGAAGGACAGGCAGGGTACAGCAGAGGGGGTGTGTTGGGGGTGACATATACTTTCCCAGCCACTCTTCCCAGACTGCACTGGTCAAGCCTTTTGCTACCTAAATCAAGGCAGAAGAGCAGCAGGCCTTGGTTTTGGGGTGAAGAATAAGGGGCAAAAGTAAGCAGTGCTACCTGAAGCCAGAGTCTGCCTGAGGCCCTGGGGATGCCGTGAAATCCCCACTTGGGCTTGCAGATTGCAGTCCTCAGCAGCCACTTCCCTTGATCCCTTTCTCTCTTTCCCATCCCTCCCACACAGCAGCTAAGAATATAAACCCTGGGGGGTTAAAAATAGCAAGGCTGAAGAGCTTTATTTCTGAAGCATTTAGCAAAAGCCCTCCCCTTCTGTGTGCCCACAGTTTAGTAAGATCTCCAAGGGCAAAGGATGAGTGCGTTTCTTGACTGACATCTGTGTTTTATGGACTTGATTTTTGTTTTCCCCCTCAGTCTTAAGTATGAGACCTCATAGGATCTGAGAGCCTGGAAGGTGGGACAGAGAAGGAACATGAAAGGGGCCTGCTGGGGTTGAAAGAGACACAGGATTATCCAACTGGGGGAGAGGTGGATCTGGAACCCACCTCCACCTCCCTCCTGAGCACAGCATGAGAAGTGGGAAAATTCTGGGGCAGGGGGAATTTAGGCCGGATAGCCAAAAATGTCTTATGTTAGTTACTTGTTAGACATGGAATTTAAAGGCTGAAAAATGGTGGCCCTCCTGCTCTGGGAATCATTTTTACTCTCACAAAAATTCAGGAGCCTTTCACCTAGAAAGAACACACATGTGTTATATTACTGTGGAAAATTGCCTATGCAACTTTGGAGGCTTTGCAGAACCCCTGAAGCCCAGCAATGGTCCCCCTAGGTGTGTGTGGACCCCAGGTTAAGAAACCTGTGTGTTTTCTTCCAAGGCATTGGGTGATGCCTTGGGTCTCCTCAAGCCCAAGAAGCTTTTATCCAACAGCACATGCCCCGTCTTTTTGTTTTCCCTCGCATTTCTGAGCTTTAAGAATGGGAGGAGGGAGGTCTGCAAAGGTAGAGGGAGCAACCAGAGGGGAGAGAGTTCAGGAGGAACAGAATCAGGAGCTCAAACCTGACGGTTAGGCCTTGTCCTTGAGAAAGAGGAAAACAGCTGCTCAGACCCTCTAATGCTGACTGATCTCCCAACGTTTATCCCCCTGCCAGATGTGCTGATGCTGCTGATGACAGATGTGCTGTTGTTCCTCCAGGAGAAGGACCAGAAGTACATCTTTCCTGCCCTGGTGAGACCTTCCGCCTTCTTTCTCAGCACAGACAAGCCCTCCTTGCTTTCTTACCCAGGCCTGAAAGAATCCTGGACTCCTCCAGTCAAATAGCTATCATTGTAACCACTGCTATAGAGTAGGTAACAGGTATTGTTACTGTGTGCAGGTGCTTAACACCTATGAGGAAGGTGCATCATCATCCCCTTTTTGTAGATGAGGAAAGTAAAGCTCAAAGTTAATTGAATTGTCAAGGGTCACATAGGTTTCCAGGTTCACTCTGGTGTCAAAGCCTGGGCTCTTAACTGGCATTACAGGCTGACTCTCTACGTCTTTGGGTATTCCAGGAGTAAAGACCCAAATATCCAAGGATCAGGATTCCCAGGCTTGATCCTTCCTTTCTGACTGGCAGGACAAGCCCTCGGTGGTGTCACTGCAGAATCTAATCGTAAGGGACATCGCCAACCAGGAGAAAGGGATGTTTCTGATCAGTGCGGCCCCACCTGAAATGTACGAGGTCCACACGGCATCCAGGGACGACCGGAGCACCTGGATCAGAGTCATTCAGCAGAGTGTGCGCATGTGAGTGTGTGTATGGCCTCAGGGTCCCTGCAGGCCACAGTACTACCCCTGGAACAGAACCCAGGCATAGAGTGGAGAGGCAGAGGCTGAGGGAGAGACAAGATGGCCCAAGGTAAAGGAGGTCATCTCTGTTCTCAAATCCTGTAAAGTCGTATTTTATAGCATGACAACCCTGCCCACCTTCCAGATGCAGCATGAGCTGCCCAGCATTGCATGGTGGCAGACCTACCAGCCAACAGTACCATCTCAGCTGCACGCACAACGTGGTCTGTAGGCAGTGGGCTATGATTTGGATTGTATTGCATTTTACCTTGATGTTCTGAAAATGAGTGCAAAGCGAATGAAAGCATTGATATTAGACATAAGAGGAGCAACTCTCATAAACAAACTCTATACAGTAGAGGCAAGAAGGTAACCCTTTATCTGTGCGCTAAAGCAGATCTTTAGCTTCTGTTGGACATACATCAGGAGTGAGGCAGCCCACTCCGTCTGTTGTGATGGAAAAAGTCAAGTCAAGTAAAATGTTGGAAATGGATTCTGGGAAGATTATGCCTAAAAAAACTCAATTAGGGTGTTTATAATGTTTTTTTGGCTTTCAGAGAATGGATGCTCCTTTACTTCATAAATAATATGTAAACCTTTTTTTTTTTTTTTTTTTGCATTTCTGCAACTTACTTTTAAACAGATTTTTCAGAAATGCATACAAAAGCGTGAAATTGCCTATCTTAGAAAAACAGTCCAAAATACCTGTCCCATTGACATAGATCCATAGTGGTCTCTTTATTGATAGTATTAATATTTGTAATTGTGAAAATTAAAACTAATATTATTCTTTTTAATTGTTTATTGAGTTTCTGCCATGTTGAAAGTACTGTTACATTATTTCATGTAATCCTAACAAAAAACCTGTGAGAAAGATATTATCCCCATTTTTCAGATGAGGAAATAGAGAGGATACCACCTGGTAAATAGCGGAGCCAGGATTTGAACCCAGTTTGCTTGATGCCAAAGCATGTAGTTGGCCCTCAGCACTGTGCTGCTTCTCCAGGTGACCTTTGGGGAGGTATATATACGCCAGTAAATACAGAATCAGTGCTAAGAAAAGGAGAGGGCCAAGAGTGAATGAAGCCGCTGAGTCTTATCAGGGTAGCATAGAGCATGTTCGGGAAAGAGGGAAGACTTGATTCCCGGTTTGTAATCTAACTTCCCCCAACCCACCCAACCTGTTATCCCTCCAGATGCCCATCCAGGGAGGACTTCCCCCTGATTGAGACAGAGGATGAAGCTTATCTGCGGCGAATCAAGAGTAAGTCCACCCACAAAGCTTGTTAAATAATTTATGATGTACCACACAGTGGAATACTATGGAACTATTTAAAAAAGTTAGATGGCTCTATGAGGGCTGATGTAAGTAGATCCATAACCAAAATATATTGTTAAGTGAAAAAAGCAAAGTTTAAAACAATAAACTGTTACCCCTGGTGTAAAAATGAGGATAGATATATATCATAGGTATCTTTGTGTGTGTTTGTGTGTAACATCTCTAAAAGATAAGATATTACTACTCTAGAAAGATAAGATGTTATTATTATTGCCTCTGGGAATGGGAACTAGGTCGAGACAGTAACTTATTACTTTTTTACTATATTAGAGTGTGACTTAACTGCTGTACAAAAAGACTAACAAAAACCAGTTGCTTAAACAAGATAGAAGATTATTTCTCTCCATATAGCAGTCCAGAAGTGGGAAGTGCAGGTTAATAGTGCAGCTCTACCACCTTCAACATGAAGATTCTCCACTTCTGCGTGCAAAATGGCTACTCCCAACTACTGCTGTCACATCTGGAACCCAGCAAGCAGGGAGGGGTAAAGGAATAAGGAGAATTTATACCCATTTCTTTTAAGGGAAGATCTGGAAGACACGCACATCCATTGGCCAGAATTTAGTCACGTGGTAATGTCTAGCTGCAAGTCAGGCTGGGAAATGCAGTCTAACTGGGCGGTCATTTGCCCAGATGAAACGTACCCACATTTTCTAATGAAAGGAAGTTGGGGAGAATGAAAACTGGTAGTCTGAGTCTCTGCCACAGATTGGTTTTTTTTTGTTTTTAAAACAAAAGTGGTGTGTTCTTTTTTCCCCCAAAAAAAGTGTTTTTCTTTTTTGTAAATGCCAAACAAACAAAATTAAGTTCTACCACTCTGGCCAGAGCTGGTCCCTAGCCCCTAGGGCTGCCCCTCCACTACTGCCTCTTGTGGGTGCCCCAGACGGCTCCCGTGTGCTCACCTGCCCCCTATCCACAGTGGAGCTCCAGCAAAAAGACCGGGCTTTGGTGGAGCTGCTGCAAGAGAAGGTCGGGCTGTTTGCCGAGATGGCGCATTTCCAGGTGGAAGAGGATGGCAGCAGTGGGACGCCCCTGCCTACCCTGCCCAGGGGCCTTTTCCGCTCTGAGTCCCTTGAGTCCCCGCGTGGTGAGCGGCTGCTGCTGGATGCCATCCGTGAGGGTAAGGGAGCTCCTAGGGAAAAGTCCAGTCTCATCCACTCACCATCACAGAATATGGACACATGGCTGGATCTGGATACATAAGACATGGGGAATGTCAACCGCATTGTCCATAAACTCCTTGAGTGCCTGTTTGGTGCTTGGTGCTGGGAATACTATGGTACTGTTTTAAAAAGTGATATGGCTCTATGAGGGCTGGTGTAGATCCGTAACCAAAATATATTATTAAGTGAAAAGAGCAAGGTTTGCTACTTTGGACACTTGGCTGCTATTTAACATTTCAATTCCTGCATAAACTTGTGCTGCCTCTCAGGCACCTTTAATGACCTTTGCCTGGCATGTAGTGGTATGAGTGGGGGCATTATTCCCCCAGATGCCTGAATGTTCGTGTGGATTGGGTGACTGTCATCTCCTCCCATTCCCCACAGGGTCTGTGTCACTCCTGTCCTCACCTCTTCCTCTTTCCCCTCAGTGGAGGGCCTGAAGGACCTGCTCGTGGGGCCTGGAGTGGAGCTGCTCTTGACGCCGCGGGAACCAGCCTTGCCGATGGAAGCAGACAGCAGTGGCACCACAAGTCCTGGGGTCACTGCCAGTGAGTGCCAGGGCAGGGGACCCAAGGTAGTGGGTGGGAGGAGTTAAAGAGAATGGGGTGGCACTAGGGACCGAGTGGTGCCAGGGCCCTAGGAAAGTGAGCTCGGCCCATTCTTTTCCCTTTCTCAACAGATGGTGAGGCCAGAACCTTCAATGGCTCAATTGAGCTCTGCCGAGCTGACTCAGACTCCAGCCAGAAGGTGGGTTCTCAGGAGGTGTCAGGACTTGGCTAGAGGGTGGTAATGGACAGCTGGCCTATAGGACCTTGACCCAGAGCTATCAGGAACAGGCACCAGGGATGTGTTTGCCTGCTGATTGCCCAACCTTCCCCATTTCTGCAGGATCGAAATGGAAATCAGCTGAGATCTCCTCAGGAGGTGAGATGGGAATCTCATGGTTTAGGACGCTGAAGGGAGGATGGTCTCAGTCTGAGAAACTGGAGCCCAGTTTGGAGTGGTGTGGGGGAGCATCTACCCCTCAGCCTTATCCACATACCCACACTTACTCAATTTCTGAGCAATTTGCCCATCCTTAAGCTTGGACTCTGTTCCCACCCTCTCCTCTGTCCTCAGGAAGCATTACAACGATTGGTCAACCTTTACGGGCTTCTGCATGGCCTGCAGGTCAGTGGGGCGAGGGCTGGGAAGGGGAGGGGCCAGACCGGAGCTGCCTGTTCTCTTGTTTAGGTGGGGTAGAGTCATCTTAAGGGGCCTTCCTAAGGGCCCCCCGGACCCTGCCCCAATTCATGCTCTGCAGGAATCATGCCCTGCGTCCGGGGGAATGAGGGTGAGGGGTGGTAGAACCGGGGTTCTGATAAACCCACCTGTCCCCATTCCCCTCCAAGGCGGCTGTGGCCCAGCAGGACACGTTGATGGAAGCCCGGTTCCCCGAGGGCCCCGAGCGGCGGGAGAAGCTGTCCAGAACCAACTCTCGGGATGGGGAGGCTGGCAGAGCTGGGGCTACTACCCCTGCGGCTCCTGAAAAGCAGGCCACGGAACTGGCGTTACTGCAGCGGCAACACGCGCTGTTGCAGGAGGAGCTGCGGCGCTGCCGGCGGCTGGGTGAGGAGCGGGCGACCGAGGCTGGCAGCCTGGAAGCCCGGCTCCGGGAAAGCGAACAGGCCCGGGCTCTGCTGGAGCGGGAGGCCGAAGAGGCTCGCAGGCAGCTGGCCGCCTTGGGCCAGACCGAACCGCTCCCAGCCGAGGCCCCCTGGGCCCGCAGGCCTCTGGATCCTCGGCGCCGTAGCCTCCCTGCAGGCGATGCCCTGTACTTGAGTTTCACCCCACCACAGGTAAGGAAGCTAGAGTCGTGAGCTGACCTGGCACGGACATGGGGGTCCATGGGAGAACCTGAAAGGAACCGGGGATTTGAGCCCAAAAGAAATTGGCAGTAGACCTGAAGGATGTTAAGATACTGGCTGGAGAACCGAAAAATGTAGCTGGGTGCAGAACGAAACCCGTCAGCGGGAGAGGTGCTGAGAGAGACTCCAGCATGGGGCTCAGCAGGCCTGCTGCCCCAAGACGAGCAGGCTCTGCTGTCATCACACTGCTCAGTCCCTGGCCTGCTCTGCTCCGTCTGCTGTCCACAGCCCAGCCGAGGCCACGACCGCCTGGACTTGCCTGTGACTGTCCGCTCTGTCCATCGACCCTTTGAGGACCGAGAGAGGCAGGAGCTGGGCAGCCCTGAGGAGCGGCTGCAAGATAGCAGTGACCCTGACACCGGCAGCGAGGAGGAAGGCAGCGGCCGTCTCTCTCCGCCCCACAGTCCACGAGGTGAGACCCTGCAGAGACATGGACTAGAAGTGAGGTGCAACCTGGGACAGACCCTTGGGCTGTGGTTCCAAAAGGGAGGCTGCATCGAGTACAGAACATTTGGGATGGTCCCTGCCTAACCGCTGAGGTCTACAGCAACTCTTGGGAGGGATACACAGGATTTCCCATTTTTTCCGATGGTGAATGGTTGGTGGAACTCCAGGGTGTAAAAAAATGTAGGGACCTCTCCTTCTCCAGTAAGTCGCTGATTCCTAGCCTTTTAAAGTAAACAAATTTCAAAGACCTCAAAAACCAAAGTTCTTAGAGTTGGTTCAGGAAATACAGGACAACCTAAAGCTACCATGACTTCATATAATAATCTTAAAATATTTTGTATCCCATTAATCAGATTGTATCTTCAAATGCTTACAGAGTGTACAGAGTAGGAGGTGTGGGTACATTACTTAACTTTGTTGGTAGGTTTCTCGGGTGAAACCTCTGCTTACTCACTAACTTTGCCCCACACCCGCTTCAGATTTCACCCGAATGCAGGACATCCCAGAAGAGACAGAGAGTCGCGATGGGGAGCCTGGAGCTTCAGAGAGCTAAGGGGGCCCCTCCCCCTGGCCTGTGCCCCCTGGAAGGACATTACTGAGGGAGGCAAACCTTGGGGACTCCAGTCTGCCGATGACAAGGGAACTTTTAAAAGAACTGCTGATGGTCCCTGCCACCTGTCGGGGTCCTTGGATACCTGGGGCCGGTCTGGAAGCTGGGGGAATGAGGCCACAGCGCCCTCTGGTGGCGTCCAGAAGCTGCACCACAGATGCCAGTTTTTCATGCCTTCTTCCCTCTACTTTAGGAAAATTTATTTATTTATTGTTTATTAGTTGTGGAGGGAGAGGGGATTTAGAGGACCAGGGACATGGGAACCAAGCCATAGGGATCGGGGGGCCTTGTCCTTTAACACTACTGGGGTTTATTCGGGCTCCACCATGCAGCTGCTGGGGTCTAGCCCTGACGCCCCTCCCCAGCAACCCCCCTCCTGGAGGAGAGGCAGCAGCCTTAGGGCCCAGCTGCCCCTTCCAGAAGGGCTGTGGGCGGGGCCATGTCCTCTCCCTTTCCCCTCAACCTCTTAACTGCTGTCCTCCCTTCTCTCCATCCTCCATGGAAACCCCAGGGAGATGACCTGGCTTCCTGGAGTCGATGGAATAGAGGTTGAAGTGGCCATAATGGTTTGTAAGGGGTTGAGGGGGGAAAAAAAACCCACAGGGACCAGAATGTTATTTTTTGTTGTTGTTTTCTTTTTTTGTACCAAAGCCAACTGCACGTGTTTTATATTTTTAAGAGAAGATTATAGGCAATTAGAGATCGCAGCCTTCTATCTCCACATCTCTGAAGAATTTGAGGTGGGGGGAACAATGGCTTCTTCCCTCATCTGTACTAATGGGGGACCTGTTCTGACCTCTTCCCCAGCCATTTGGGGAAAAAAGTTCTAGGGTGAGTTGGGCAATTTCTATGAACCCTGACCTCATCCCCCACCACAGCAACCATGACCTGAAACCTCAGTGTGAATTGGGGGGACTTTTTTAATGGATTCCCTCCTAGTACCCACCAGCCCCAGCCATTTTTTTCTGCCAATTTGATTGTAAAAAAAAAGATAAAAGCAGGGAAAATTAAAGACCTGGAACCCCGTGAAATGCTGTCTCTTGATGTCTGCCAGTTGCGAGGGTGCTGGTTGGGGTTGGGGGAGCCGTGCGCACCAGGCAGTGACCTATGCTCTCTGAAAGGGGCCCTTCCTCTCACAGGAGGGCAGACTGCCTCACTGCACTGAGCCCTAGCAGAGGAAACCGCTGCCAAACCTCTTTTGTTGTTGATATTTAAGGATTGAAAGTCGTTGAAATACAAGGATAAAAATGAAGGGCACTTAGGTTTAGGTTTGGTGGCTGTGGGGGATTCCAATGTTAGAAAACTTTATTTTCATCTCTGCATGCATGCTGAGAAACTGCATTAGCCCATAGCCCATTCCCTCCCTTTGGGCACAGTTCCTGTGAGCCTCTCCCCTGTGCCATGCATTTCCAGATTCAGGCCCCCCCCCCACTCTGCCCTTGTCCTCAGGGGCAGAGCCCTGGGGTAACCTCTAAGATGTTCCCCTCATAGAAGCTGCTCATTTGCTCTTTGCCTTTTCGAGAGGCTGTGAGAGATGAGGTTGGTTTCAGTTCTTGTTTTGGGTTAATTTTATGTTCTGTTCCTGGTTAACACCCTACTTTGGACCTGGGGGGAGGGGAGGTGGAGAGAGACTAGAGCTATATGAATGCAGGCTTAGGCACACATACCTCTGTTGGCACCCATGGGGTGAGATGAGAAGGATGGGGCTCCAGACCTCAGCTGGGAAGAGGGATTAAAACTGCCTGGGGGGCAGGCTGGGGGTTAGCAGCCAGCACCCTCCACTCCTGTCATTCTCACCCACCAGCATCTGGCTATTGCGAGGTGATTTCTCATCCAGTACATCCATTATGAAATCAGTGAGGTTAGGAATTATTCTCGAGTTGAACAGACAAGGGGAAACCTGGGTGTAGAAAGATTGCCAGGCCGGGAGGGTGAGGGTGTCGGGGAGGGGCAACCCTCCACACTGCAGTCCCCTACTTCCCTTCCTTGGCTACTCTGCATGAAAATACCAGAGCTCCAAGTGTCAAATACTCTGACACATGGCTCAGCAGCTGCCTGCCACGTCACCTAGAGCGTCTGGGACCCAAATCTGTAAAGGTAATGGTGGAGGGAGGAAGACTAGTGGACCGGAGACTCCTAGGTCACATCCAAGGACACCCAAGATTGGGGAATGCAGCCTCCTCCGGCATTCTCACTCAGATCCAATGAACGATGTTGGTCAGGAGAGAAGCAGAAACCTGGAGGCACAGAGCCCAGAGAGGGTACAGAGAAGCCACAGCTCAGGGGAGAACAGCCCTGTGTTATTCCCAGCAGCACCAACCCTCCTGCCGCCCCCTGGCCAAATCTCCCTCTGCATCTTGGCCCTGATCTATGTCACACTTTTCTCTGATGGGGAGATTAATCCGGAGATGAGTCTCTCTCACATCATTCTGTCTGCTGTGCCTAATCCCATTTTGGGAAACTTAACTCTGTCCTTCCTGGTGCCATTTCAAAGCTCTGTGGCTTTGTGCTCTAGGAAGCCAGGGCCCGGCCTCTAGCCACAATGCCTTCCTTCCCTCACTAGAGGAGCTTCAAGCTGGTGGGGTCTAGTCACCCCCCGCGCTCCCGCCCCTGTCGCTGCACCCTCACCTACCTCTGCTACTCCTCTCCAAGGGTAGGTCTACATGCATTCATTCATTTCTGACTTGGACCTGTTTAAACTGTCAATGTTTACCTCTAGGCCCCATAAAACAGAAATGCCCCCAGAGGAGCCAATATCCGGTGCCCAGCAAAGCCATCAGAGTAGCTGGGGAGGGGCGGGGGCAGCAATAGGCGGTTTCCATCCTCTTGAATTGTCTGGGAACAGACCTAGAGTTCTGGAAACAGTTTAAACATTATCAAAAAGAGGAAATTAAACACTGAGGGGCTAATTAAATCTCTTTAATGTTGCATAATATGTTGGGAATTGGATGGCTGTTTAGAGCCTCTTCTGCTCAGTTAACTGGATGGAGCTGGTGCGGACAGGGTTTGTAGGCACCGAGGCCACCCTCACTGGGGCTTCCTGCCCTGCTCCGAGCTATTGCTCTGGGCTCTTGAGTGGCCAGAGTTGTCCTGAGTTACAAGACACACCAGAGCTTGGGGGTGGTGGTGATGGGGGGGGAGCAATGAGAATGGAAGCTCCACCCATATTCCCTCTACCTCCTCCCTCCCTTCCAGGGACTGGTCCCCAGAAAGTCCCTTCTGATGGCTAACCTTTGCCATTGTTGGGTCTCTGGATATGGAAACCAAAGGGAAGCCCCCTGCCTTGAAGAAGAACACACTTTCAAGAGGGGCTTGAAGAGACAGCCCCTTGCTCAGTTCTTCATATAAAACTAATTTCACTGCAGAGCATGTAAAAATCATTCCAGATGGTTCCCATCCCCATTATTTCCTCCCTTTCCTTCTCTCTGCCTTCTTTTTACATGAAGTGTAAGAATAACAGCTGAGCATTCTATTTCAGGCACTGTTGAATTCTCCACTGCACATTTTACAGATGAGGAAACAGGTACAGAGAAGTGGGGTAACATACCGAGGTCCCACAGCCGGTGAGCGTCAGAGTGAGGACGATGACTTCAGTGTTCTCCCACCTCCACTCTGACACTCGGAGCTAAGTACTGGGATCAGAGGAAGACTAACAGCACTTCCCGTAGTTTCCACTTCTCGGCACACACCGTTAGCCTCCTCCTCTGCCGGCCCCCTTCTGCATCTCTTACTCCTCTACGTCCCACCCACATCCTTGACACATCATGAGCTTCATTTCTCCCTCCAAATCCTGACTGAAGGAGGGACACACAGGCTCTCCCGGCCAGCGCCAGGGTTTCGCAATCAGGGCTTGGCTGGTACCAGCAATCCAGCAGGACCTCACGCGAGGCATCTCCCTGCAGGGGAGGTACGGCTCTTTGCAGCTCTGGTCTTTTGCAGGCACCATGTTTCTGTGGGCACCACTGAGAAGGTGAGAAGGTGGAAATGGCCAGGAAAGGAGGGCATTTTTGGCTCTGGCACCAGAGAAGGACGAGGCATACCCCGTTTGAGGTGGGGGTAGGGAGGACGGGGAGGACAGACAGGGAGATAGGCACCAACCTATCTCCCATTAGTCTAGATCCACTGATCCTTAGTCTAGAGCCCTTAGGAAGATTTTTGGGGAATTCTTACAGCAGACAGAAATGGGGCAAAGAATACTTTTGTCCACACTGAACTGGAGGTGGAAATGGGATAAAAGGTCAAGACAATTTGTGGGTGATCCAGTGGTTTATTCTCAGATCCTCTTCTTTCTCACCTCCAAATAGACATCCAGTGTGTCACACTCAGCCCTGACCTGAGCCCAGGCATCCCTCATTCCACCACACCCAGAGTGGGATCAAAGATCAAACTTCCCTGGAGGGCATTACAGCCTGGCAGAGGCCAGCCTCTCCCTCCCTGGCATGTGTGGATTTTGCACCTGGCAGAACCCAGAAAGGAAGGTGTACAGCTTACACTCTTGATCCAGGTGTCCCTTTGTCCAAGTTGGAGAGCATGGCAGAAGGGCCACTCTCCTGGCGATGCAGTCCACCCACTGCCTGCCCACCCTTCCGGCCGCCTATTCCTCCCCGCCCCAGCCCTGGGAACACAGCCTTGCTCGCAGATCCCTGAAGGTGTCTGCCAGGGCCCGCCGCGGCCCCCGCCTTAGGAGGCAGTACAGCACGGGGTTGAGGCAGCTGTTGCTGTGCGCCAGGCAGGTGGTGACCGGGAAGACATAGGTATGGATGGTGTAGAAAGTGCTGTCCCAGGGCACCAGGTCAAATTTCACCAGGACACCCCATAGAGTGACCACGTGGTTGGGGAACCAGCAGAGGAAGAAGGAGGCCACCAGGATGCGGACAGAGCGGGCCACAATCCTACTGTCCTGCCGTCGCCGCCGCCGCAGGAAGGCCAGTAGCAGCAAGTAGCTGGTGCTGATGATGCCCAGGGGCACCATGAAGGCCAGCACCACCCTCTGCAGCTGGTAGGCGCCCATCCAGTATCTGCTGGGGAAGCGCAGTAGGCACAGACGCACACCCCACACCTCCCCCTCAGCCCCAAAGACAGCCGTGGGCACTGTCACTAGGGCGGCTGCCACCCACACCGCTAGGCTGGCCATGCGGGCCCAGAAGAGAGAGAGGTGGGCACCTGGTCCTGCAGCCATGGCCACCACCCAGTATCGGGCAACGCTCAGCGCTGTGATGAGGAAGATGCTGGCATAGATGTTGAGGACGGTGGCCGTCAGGACCATCTTGCAGAGGGTGCCTCCGAAGGGCCAGTGGAAGTCCAGAGCCGACTCAGCTGCCCAGAAGGGGAGAGTGAGGGCCAGCCCCAGGTCTGCCAGAGCCAGGTTAAAGACAAAAGTGTCAGAAGGTGGGCCAGGGGCTCGTCGAGTGCAATTGCCCAGCACCCATAGCACAGCCAAATTTCCCAGCAAGCCAACGGCCCCCACAAGCCCGTAGGCCAGGGCCACCATGACCCTCAGGGCCAGGAACTTGATGGGCATGGCAGTAGCATCGGTGCTCAGCACACTGCCTCCGGACGTGTTGGCCCAGAACGCAGGCGGCAGGGCAGAGGTATTGGGGGTGGGCATTGCAGGGCCCAGGAGGTCGGTGGGCCAGGCAGAGGGGCCAGGGCCACCCAAGGCTGTCAGCGGGAGGTGGCCCATCTGAATGTGCTCTCAGGGCCTCCAGCCGCCAGGAGCCCCAGCCCACGCCCACACCTCCCAGGGAGGGTGTAGATTGGGACGACCTGCCCCGTCCCTGCTGGTCACGATTGGTGGGAAGCTGGGCAGGGCCAGGGAGGGCCTGAACACTGGGATAAAGGTGTGCAGGCGTGTGTGTGTGTGTGTGTGTGTGCGCGCGTAGGAAGAGCTATGTGGCAGGGGTCAGGAGAGAAGGGGCAGTTATCCCACTATGGTGGACAGCCCCAAGCCTCCACCCAGGAAGAGGTACCCCATCTCAGATAATAGGAACCAAACCAGAGCCCCTTTATCTCTAAAGCGTGTGGGGGTCCCCTTCCCTGCCCAAAGTGGTCCTTTGGGCCTGAGGGAAGAAGTCCTGGAAGGGGTGTAGGGGCAGGGACTCAGAACGGGTGTCTGAAAGAACAGAGGTTCTCGAGTCCCAGGTTGGCTGCGCGCTTGCTGTGTGACTTTGGGTGATTCACTTTACTCCCCAGAGCCTCAGCTTCCTTGCTTAAAATTTTCAGACAAGAGTCTCTGTTTCACATCATCGTTGTGAGGAAATGAGATGGTACATGTGAGAAAGCACTTTGTACACTGCTATTTGCATGAACGATTATTAGTTCAAGGGAAAAGTTTGGGATGCCCATGGTGGAAGGGAGTGGGGTACAGAGCAGCTATTATTGCCGTGCCCAAGGAACAGTGCCAATGAAAGCACAGGCTGGAATTCATTGCAACAGCAAGTGACCTTGAGGCTGAGGGCAGGAAGGGAAAAGGGAGGAAGTCACAGCTTCCTGTTGCCTCCCACTGGGAACACGGCCTGTGAGGTCCTGTGTGGCCCTGCGATATGCCCTCGCTCCTGCTTCTGCTCAGAGTAATAAGTAATCCTATTAACCTCTGTCACTCCCATTGCCATTTTACTCTTTTCTGCTCTAGTCTGTGGAGGCAGAGGTCAACAGTCCCCCACCCTCTCCTCTAACCCCCAAACCCCATTCAGAACTGTGGATCCTGAGACACACCCTTGCCCAAGCCATCCTGTCTCCCCGCGATCTCAGTCCTAAGGGGAAAATCGCCTCATTGGTCTTCCCCTTTTGTGCCCATATCCCTACCTTTGCAGAATTTGCTGTGATGGGGAAAAAGAAGGTGAGAGGTGAGTAAGTGCAACAGTGAGGCTTTTTCAAGGATTCCAAAATATTCAGCACCTTCCTACCTCTCCAGCTAATTTAGATGTTTGATGTTCAGTTCCCCTGGAGTAGTGGGGGAAGAGGGGCCCTTCAGGACGGTCAGTCAGCAGTGGGTGTGATGAACCCTACAAGAGAGCCCCAGAGGTGAAAAGGACCCAGAACGGGTGCCAGGATGTTTGGGTCTTTGAGCAAGGGGAGGGTGTGAAGGGGCCGGCAGAAGGAGAAACCTCGGCCCAAGTTCAGGTGGGCCCCCTGGGCTATCTGGTCTCAAGCACCACTCCTGTGTGACTTTGTGGGCCACGTTTATCTCTCGGGGCCACATTTACTCCTCCACCTGCACAGCATCACCTTGCCAATCTGGCAATGAAGACGTCTGTTTAATACATTGGAGCTATTTTCTCTTGGCTTGGAGGACAGAAACTGGGTTCTGCTATTCATTTGAAATAACCTGGGCCTCTGATCATTTCTTTTTTCTTCTTTTCTTTTTTTTTTTTTACCTTTATTCGTTTCTAATCTAAATCCTCTCCCTTGGCCTGAGACAATCAACACTCTGTGGTTATGTAGAGAAGTGATGCCACCAGCTGGCCAGGTCTAAGAACTTCAGTTTGGGTCCTTTGTGTATTTTGTTAGTTTGTTCATTCCTTCATTTGTCCGTTCATTCATTCCCTAATCACATCATTTCCTGAACGCTTAACATGTGCCAGGCATTGTGCTAGATGCTGGAGAGACAAAAACAAAATATGACCCAATGCCATAAAACTAGAAGAAACCATATAGGCAGTAAACTCTGCACACCAGCATTGACAATTTTTTTCCAGATGTATCTATCTCCTTAGGCAAGAGGAACAAAATAAAAAATAAAGAAGTGGGACTACATCAAACTAAAAAGCTTCTGCACAGCAAACGAGACCTTCAATAAAATGGAGACAACCTACTGAATGGGAGAACATATTTACAAATGATATAGCTGATAAGGGACATATCCAAAATATATTTAAAAATTCATACAACTCAATACCAAAACCCACAAATAATTCAATTTAAAAAATGGGAGAGGACCTGAATAGACGTTTTTCCAAAGAAGACATACAGATGGCCAACAGACATATGAAAAGGTGCTCCATGTCACTAATCATCAGCGAAAGGCAAATCAAAACCACAATGAGGCGCCACTTCAGTAAGAACAGCTAATATAAAAAAACGAAGAAATAAATTGTTGGCGAGGATGTGGAGAAAAGGGAACCCTTGTACACCAGTATGTAAACTGGTGCAGTCACTATGGAAAGCAGTATGGAGGGTTCTCAAAAAACTAAAAGTTTAACTACCGTATGGTCCACCAATTCCACTTCTGAAAATTTATTGGAAGAAAACAAAACCACTAATTTGAAAAGATACATGCACCCCCATGTTTATTGCAGCATTATTTACTATAGCCAAGATATGGAAGCAACCTAAGTGCCCATTGCTAGATGTATGGATAAAGAAGAGGTATGTATTACACATACACACAACATACATACACACAACGGGATATTACCCAGCCATAAAAAGAAGGAAATCTTAACTTTTGCAACAATGTGGATGGACCTAGAGGGTATTATGCTAAGTGAAGTCAGTCAGAGGAAGACAAATACCATATTATGTGACTTACCTGTGGAATCTAAAAAACAAAACCAATGAACAAAGGAACAACAAAATACCCAGAAACAGACTCATAAACACAGAGAACAAACTAGTTGCAAGGGGAGAACAGGGTCAGGGAGAAGAGAAATAGGTGAAGGCCATCAAGGGGTACAAGCTTCCAGTATAAACTAAGTCACAGGAATGAAAAGTACATCATAGGGAAAATAGTATTATTGTAATAACTGTATGATGACAGATGGTAACTACACTTATGGTGGTGAACATTTATTTCATAATGTATGTAAATGTTGAATCACTATACTGTACACCTGAAACTAATATAATATTCTGTCACCTACAATTAAAAAATTTTTTAAATAAAGTGAAAAAAACTGGCCATACCAAGCATTGGTGAGGATGTAGGGTACCAAAACTTCATACATTGCTCGTGGGAATGTACAATGATATAATCACTTTGTTAAACAATCTGACAGTTTTTTTTTTTAATTAAGCATACGCTTCACTTGTCATTTACTCAAAGGAAATGAAAGTATATGTTCACATAAAGACTTGCTCACAGCAGCTTATTTTTAGTAGCTTAAAATGGGAAACAACTCAAAAGGGTAACTCAGTCACATACCAACAAGTGAATAGGTCAATGGATTGCGGAAAGGTCACACAATGGAATGCTATTCAACAATGGAAAGGAAGGAACTACTGCTATATACAACAGCAAGCAAGGAGGGATGAGCCCTGGTGGCTGCCAGCCAGTGGCTGCTGTCCCCTCACTGAAGCACCTGTTCCTCATCCATCTGCTCAGCATCACTGGTCATCCACACGGCAGCCAAGTCCTGCCTGTCCCCACCTCCAGTCCTAGCAGTGTGCTCCTCTTAAACAGGACAACCACATAGCTAACTCCATTTGCTTTGGACCAGGTTGACTCGAGAGTGCCCCCCGAGGTTCTCAGGCTGTGGCTCCCGAGTACCTAGCCTTTCTGTCCTCTAACGCCCCCTATCTGCAAGTCATATACACTGTGTAGGTTTCATTTCAGATGTCAGGTGTTCACGTTCTAGAGAAAGGAAGTGGGGCAGATGCCTCCCTATACATGTAAATGAGCAATAGCTCTTCCTGGGATCACTCTTCTAAAACCAGAGTTTTAAGTCTTTGGTAGTTGACACTGCTAGTTAAGTCCTCGGTGGATCACCTTGCTATACTCTATACAAACTTTGGTATCTGTACTACAATTCACAGCTTCCTGTTTCAGATGGGGGTTCCATAATGCCTGGCAATCCTTTTACATGTCCCTTATCAGCTTGATTTTTCATACATTCATCCAAAAGTCACTTCAGGTTATCTGGCAAGCAACAGACACCATGCAGGCAGGGATACACAAAGATGATTAAGACATAGTTCCTGCCCTCAAGTAGCTCACTCTTAGCAGGGGCAACAGAAATATAAACAATACCTGTAAGTGTGAAGGACGCTGAAGATTTAATAGAGAATTCAGGGGCACAAAGGAGAAAATGTTTAATTTTACCTAGTATAGTCACAGAGATGATTTCTGAGCTGAGTCTCTTGAAAAAATTAGTAGGTGTTTGTCCAAGGAAAGGACATTTTAGCTCATGGCTACTTGTTACCATAGCTACAGAATAATCAAATCAGACATTTTTTTTTAAGGTTGTGGGAATTTTTTTTTCCTTAAGAAGAACCATTGCTCTACCTGTCCAAGACCAATCTTCCATCTGTATTTGTAAATCCTTGTCTCAGACCTTGCTATGTGAGACATCTGCTTCCTCTGGACTTGCTAGTGTCTCCTTTACTACAAGCAGCAGAAACCTTGAGTTGTGTCTAGTGATGAACAGATATGGAAGGACAGGATGATGTTGATTATGCCAGAGTACTTGAAAAAGCCTCACCTTTTTGTCTACCTATCCCCACTGTCTCTTTCCTTCCTTTGCTGGAGTAGGTAGCAATACTGACATGGAAGAATAGGGCCAAGAATGTGTTTTTGGAGTTTCAGTAGATCTGAATAGATTCGGGTGAGATAGAAGACGACAATACAGCCCTCAGGAAGCACGTTTTATTCTGTTTTTCATTTGGCTCCTGTTTCTGCTTTTCCCAGCACATGTGTCCATTCTGCCACTTCTCTCTGCAGACTAGCTCCTCTGCCT